AAAAAAAAAAGGTGTTTAAAACAGTGACTCATTATTTTTGTAGGCTAGTGGTATTTCATCCTAATGTCCAGTGAGACCAAAATGATGGGCACACCCATGGCTGCTGTGTCACTGAAGTAGGAGCAGGACAATCCGGGCACATGGAAACAGAGCAGGAAAGGAAGGGGGAGAACAACAGGAGAGCTGCTATTTAATAGGGGAAGGCACTTAACACATCAAAGAGCTGGAATATTACAACACATACCAGAAAACTGGGACATCTTTGCCCAGGTTTAACAGAGCTCCTAAAATATCTACAGATGCTGCCAGAGAGAATAAAGAACAACTTTTCTTCTGCAGTTCAATGACTCATTTCTCCAATGCGGGCTCCCATTGTTGGAGCCTTTGACATTTTTGCCTTCTCAGTAATACAGTGGGATCTTTTCATCTCTCCAAGGACTGTGCTCCCAACTATCAGATGTCTAAGCACCAAATTCCTCCTTTACTGAACTTCCTCCCTATTTCTTGCTACCACATTCCTTCCTTCAGTCCCCATGAAAAGCCATTCCCTACCCTGCCACCCTGCTGCCATCTCATCAGCAACCTACTTGTACTGTGATAGAGATCCTCTCCTCCCCTTGGTGGCTTCTTCCTTCTTTCAATCACACCCTAGAATTTATAATTTAATTTTTTTTTTTTTTTAAAGGCAAGGCACCAACGCTCATAGACCCAAGGGAAACACTGTCCTGCTGCCTATTTCAGGTGAAGTTTATAGTGCTGCTTGAGGTGTGTCTTGTTTTGGAAGCACTTTCCACACTCAGCACACATAAAGGGTTTTTCTCCTGTGTGGACTCGCTGGTGTCTGTTGGCATGAGTGCTGTGTTTGAAGCACTTCCCACATTGCGAACACACACAGGGCTTCTCACCTGTGTGGGATCACTGATGCTGGACAAGCATTGAGAAATCACTGAAGCTTCTCCCGCATTGCGTCCGTTCAAAGGGCATCTTGCCAGTGCGGGCTCTCAGGTAATTTCTAAGGTGAGAGTTTCTGCTGAAGGTTTTCCTTCATACAAGACAAGGGTAAGGCCTTTCTGCCATGTGCATTCTTCTGTGGGAGCTAAGGTGGGAGCTCACCCTGAAGTTTTCTCCACACTCACTGCACATGAAGGGCTTCTCACCTGTATGGGTTCTCTGGTGTTTAATTAAATCGGAGCACCGCCTGAAGCCCTTGTTATATTTGGAACATTCGTGGGGTTTCTCTGTCCAGGATGCATCGTCATGCTGAAGACTTGACATCTGACTGACAATTTCCTCACACCCTCTATATCCAGAGTGATTGTTTCCTATAGTACTTTCTGGTGGAGAAGAATGCCGTGGAGGCCCTCAAGAATGTCGTCATCCTGTCTCTCCCCAGGGAGGTCCCTCTGGCGCATTTCTGACACGTGCTGGCTGTCGCAGGCCTCTGCCTTGCTACATCTCTGGAAAGCATTATTTTCAAATGCCTCCAGTAATGTCTCATGTTGTTTCACATTCTCGGGATCATCTTCCAGACGACTGTCATCTTCATTCCCACTATTAGCCTCATCATCTTAATGAAAGAGAAGCCAACATGAATGCTCAGCAAGAAAGCAAGGTAAGGAAAGGGACTTAGAGACTGTGAGCCTTTAGCAAACCCTAGTTTAAGGTTGGACTCAGAGGGCAACACCCCTTCCTCACCCAGGGATTCAGGATTGTTCCCATCCTTATTTCCTGATGACTAATAATGACCCGGACACTTAGCTGTAAGCTCAACGCAGAAGTGACTTTACTGGCTTTACGTTACGGAGATACTGAATTAAGTATATTCCTCACCTTTGGAGATGTTGGTGAGGAGATCCCTTCCCGCAATCTCGTTGAAAATGGCCACACACAGCTCCTTCTCTCCTTCTGTTCGGACCCCACCCGTGAACGGCCCCTGAACAGACTGCAGAGCTGCCGTAATTACCACCAGGACCGCCACCCTGCAGGGAGGATGCTCTTGGCCCTGCACGCTATCCCAGGGAACCGCCTTTTAGCACGAACACCATCCCGTCCGTCATCCCTCTGCCCCGTAAATTGGAGCTGAGCATCCCCTGCACTGCAGGTCCTGTGCTCGCCCGGGGCCGAGACTCCAGCGGACGGAGGGCAGCAAGGGAGAGCCTTCGTCCCAGCTCCCGAGCGAGGGAGAACGGCCCCGGGGGCACCAGCCTCCTCGGCGCTCGCCTCGCCTCCCGCACCGCCAGGGCGGTGAAGGTGTTTGTTTGGGAGAAGACCCGACGCCGGGCCCAAGCAGGGGCAGGGTGGCTGCCGCCCCCTGACGGAAGCAGCGATGGAG